AGACTAGGTGACTGGGCAACATTGGGGACACTGACACTGTGATACATAGGAACACTGATGCCAGGATGACCTTCCAATTCTTTGGACAGACATGCCCCCTTTTTGGGGATGTTCGCCCCTTTTCGCAGTTGTGGTCACGTGATTCGCGTCAGTGGCCCACCCTTTTACCCCGCCCATTGACTTCCTGCTTCACTTGACACTGCTGTTAGGAGGTATGGATTTACTTGAAAGATGAAAGCATGAATTAGAGAGAGATTAGCATAGAGTATATGTTTTCTAATAGCTGCATCCTTTGAGTTTCCCTCCAATACCATCTCCATCAGATACATGACGCTTGGGAGGTATGACTATTTTAGTGTTTTTGGTCGATAAGATTCTGTAATTAGGCCCATCATAATTGTCAGCACCAGGCCCACTGGGCTCTTAATCTGGCCCTGCTTCGCACACAGAACACATAAGCACAATGACACATAGATACACACCCTGACACATACACACATGCTGGCACACAAATACATATGCACACCAGGGCCGTCTATAATATTAATAGGACCCTGGGCAAAGCAAGTTCATGGGCCCTCCCCCGATGGGCCCCTCAAGCATGTGGCTCCAGTGCAGCCTCACCAATAGTAGTTCTGCCACTGGTTTGACTTAGTTGGGAAGCACAATGTCAGGATATTTGCTAATATAATGAAGAGGGATCCCCTACATCTCTGTCCTATGGAAAATGAGTGGTGGTCTCTGGATTATTGCCACTCATTGCATAGAATGATGAGTAGTGCAAAATAAAAATAATGCTGAGATCGCCAGGGAACCCTATTAAATACACCACCCATGTGTGACAAAGTGAACGTTAAAAATATGCAGTGGCCTACAGACTCCCACTTATCCTACAACAAGCAAAGTAAGGTTATTTAATTAATATGGAATTGATATGTTCACACATCCGGTAGTTAATCAAGGGTTTAACGATCTGGAGGGGTACCTCTTTTGCACATTCTAGCAGTGCAGAGTAGCATCAATCTGTACCCCCCACCCACAATTTGTATGCAGGAAATAAGGGGTTAACAAAAATGTGAGGGATCCCCTTGAGCAGAATCATTCCTTAGCTTATATTGATCTTGGCCTGACTCATGATCCATGAGTATTTTCTCAGCTGAGATAAGGAGAAAGGGATGTGATTCAGAAGATGTAACGTTGCCCTGTGGATAGTTCAGGTGTGTAACTGTCTAGATCTTGTTTACAGAACGATTGCGATAACAAACCAATTACCTTACAATTACCTTACACAGAACCCTGCCACCTACACCTTTAATATCTGTTCAGCCTGATTTCCAACTGTCTGCACATTCCCAAAGACAGAATCACATATTGCCATGAGTGCACTTTAGACAGCTTTGTATATTTTGTTCATGAATTGTTTGCAGCAAGTGGTCCAAACAAACTTAAATTAAGGTGTTATACTAGATTATCAGCAGAAAGCAAAACCTACTGTAAGATTGTTTTTGGAGTACAAACACTTCAAACACAACCAATAGTTCTACATTTATTTTTCATAAACAAACAAAAAAAAGACTTAAAAGAGTTAAAATCAAAAATAATAAAATAATGATGAAATATGAGTTATTTACAGCACGGTACAAGGAGACCTGCAAAAAGACAGATGGAATCTAAGCAATGAAGGTAATTATGTCAGAGGCTCATGCTTGATATAATCGAGGTGTACGACCAGAGGTGCCCATTCTCTAAAAGAAACTAAATTATATAAATGTGCATAGGGATTTGGGATAGTGCGCAAGTAACTCTTTACTTTGGTTTTTATTGCATGTAATCATTGCTGTTGCCCAGGAGTAGTGGAAATTTGAGCGCAGGACTTGTTTTTGTATATTAGTATCGAGAATATAAATACAAATGTAGCCAAGCGGACACACAGGACCGCTACCTTATTAATATAGGTAATGATAATCAGCAGCCAGCCATTATCATAAAATGTAAACACAGTGGGTCAGATTAACTCAGTGCTGATATCTCTGTCCTCTAAGCTCCTAAACGCAGGGAAAGACAACGTCATAATTTGAGCCAAGCTGCTCGGTTAACCTATCAATTATCTAGTCAAATATTGATTCCATCAATTACCTATTCAATCAATTACCCATTCAATCATTTACCCTTTCAATTACCCCTCCTCCCATGCAGACTGGCATACAGGGGTCAAGTCCTGGGGAAAAAAGTGTGGGAACTCACCCAAGATTCCTGCCCCCCCCCCCAAAAAAAAATCATTTACACTCCTATGCATATAGTGCAGTGCAGGGTGTGTATAATGATGTAGTGTGTTTGTAGTGAATGCAGAGTGTGTATAATGAATGTAGTGTGTTTGTAGTGAGTGCAGAGTATGAATAATGAATGAGGTGTGTTTGTAGTGAATGCAGAGTGTGTATAATGAATGTAGTGTGTTTGTAGTGAGTGCAGTGTGAATAATAAATGTACTGTGTTTGTAGTGAATGCAGAGTGTGTATAATAAATGTATTGTGTTTGTAGTGAATGCAGAGTGTGTATAATGAATGTAGTGTGTGCATAATGAATGCAGTGTGTATAGTGAATGTAGTGAGTGCAAAGTGTGTATAGTGAATGTAGTGAGTGCAGAGTGTGTATAGTGAATGTAGTGTGTTTGTAGTGAGTGCAGAGTGTGTATAATGAATGCAGTGTGTGTAGTGAGTGCAGAGTGTGTATAATGAATGTAGTGTGTTGGTAGTAATTGCAGATTGTGTATAATGAATGCAGTGTGTATAATGAATGTAGTGTGTTTGTAGTGAGTGCAGTGTGTATAATAAATGTAGTGTGTTTGTAGTGAGTGCAGAGTGTGTATAGTGAATGTAGTGAGTGCAGTGTGTATAGTGAATGTAGTGTGTGTGTAGTGAGTGCAGATTGTGTATAATGAATGCAGTGTGTGTAGTGAATGTAGTGTGTTTGTAGTGAGTACAGATTGTGTATAGTGAATGTAGAGTGAGTGCAGAGTGTGTATAGTGAATGCAGTGTGTGTAGTGAGTGCAGAGTGCAGGGCCGAGTGAGTGCAGAGTGTCATGGGCCTGACGGTCCTGGGGGCCCGGACTGCTCATTTGTGCACATATAGATAGTGATTATAGCTATCTATATGTTCACCTGCGGGGGCCCACACTTTGAACTGTGTCAGGGGCCCCAAAATTTCTAATGGCAGCCTTGGCAGAGTGTGTACAATTAATGCAGTGTGTGCATAATGAATGCAGAGTGTGTATAGTGAATGTAGTGAGTGCAAAGTGTGTATAGTGAATGTAGTGTGTTTGTAGTGAGTGCAGAGTGTGTATAATGAATGCAGTGTGTGTAGTGAGTGCAGAGTGTGTATAATGAATGTAGAATGTTTGTAGTAAGTGCAGATTGTGTGTAATGAATGCAGTTTGTGTGTGCTGGAAGATGCGTGTGTGCTGGAAGATGTGTGTGTGTGTGTGTGCTGGAAAATGTGTGTGTGCTGGATGATGTGTGTGTGCTGGATGATGTGTGTGTGCTGGATGATGTGTGCGTGTGCTGGATGATAGGAGGGGAAGCATTTTTTTTTTAAATTTATGTGTTTATATATATATTTTTTTATTCCCCCTTCCCTGCTTCTTACCTTGCCAGGGAGAGGGGAGATCGCCTGGTGGTCCGGTGGTATGGTGGAGAGAGCCAGCCGGTGCACACGGGGGTCCAACACACTCTGTGTTCCCTCTCCCGGCCCTTTGTATATCTCATTCTTCATACCACAACCTTTGTGTTTCTCTTAGTTCCTCATCAGCCCCTTTGTGTGTGTCTTTTCTCCTCACAGCCCTTTTGTGTCTTTCTTCCCCCCAGCCCCTCTGTGTGTCTCTTTCTTTCCCCCAGCCACTTTCTGTGTCTCTTTCTCCCACCACGAGCCCCTTTGCCTGGCTTTTTCCTCCCAAACACAACAGACATAGATATACAGGTACAAATACATACATGCATAAAGGCACAACCATACAGGCACATAGTCATAAAAGGTACACAAACAAACACAGTCATACAAGCAACCAGTCATGCACAGACAGTCATACAGAGACGCACAGACAGTCATACAGAGACACACAGACGGTCATACAGAGACACGCAGACAGTCATACAGAGACATGAAGACACAGGCATACAGAGACATGAAGACACAGTCATACAGTGACATAAAGATAAAGTCATACAGAACAAGGCATACAGACACAGTTAGACAGAGAAATATGGACACAGTCATACAGAGATTTACACACAGTCAGACAGAGACAAACAGACGAAAGTCATACAGAGACATACATAAACAGACATATACTGCTAGTGATGAGAGGAGGAGAGGGATGGCTGCTAGTGATAGGGGGAGATAAGGGATGGCTGCTAGGGATGGGAGGGAGAGAGGGGGATGGCTGCATGTGATGGGAGGGAGAGAGGATGATAGCTGCTAGTAACAGAGAGAGGAGGATTGCTGTTTGTGATAGGGGTGAGAGTAATGGTGGGTAGTGATGGGGAGAATGTGTGGCTGCTAGTGATGGGGAGAAGGGGATGGCTGCTAGTGATAGGGGTGAGTGAAGGATGGCTGCTAGTGATGGGGGAGAAGGGGATGGCTGCTAGTGATAGGGGTGAGTGAAGGATGGCTGCTAGTGATGGGGAGATTGGATGGCTGCTAGTGATGGGGGGAGTGGAAGCATCAGAAGAATAGAAGTGAGGTGGCACTGTTGGACCAATAAAACACAGAGCTCCACATGAACTATAAGATTTAGCTCTGTGGAGCTCTGTGCTAGATACATAATTATATCATGAAAAAATAAATAAAACATGGCTGCTCACCGTTGGTGGTGTAAGTAGCTGAAAAGAGATGTTGTTAGCTCTCCCTGCTCGGTAATCCTCTAGCAGGGTCTGACAGGAAGTGATGTAAAATGCCCCGCCCACTGCAGTCTTCACTCCTCAGTAAACTACCGCGGGGGAGAGTAGTGTGAGCAGGCACATCTCCTGCATCGTGACAGCCATTATACCACCAACAGCAGACAGTGCATTGTGGGCGGCAGTATGCTGGGGACTGGGAGGAATGAGGCAGCACAGCGACATTGCTCCCCCTGTGAACACCTGTCCTGCAGGATCACTAGCGGGAACGGCGTTCCTGCTTTGAAAAAAGTGCAGGAACGCCGTTCCCATGCGTTCCTGCAGGACTCGAGCCCTGTTGGCATAGCACCCCACCTTTAATAACAAACACTTCTGTAGCTGTAAATATAAACTTCAGCAGGGAGTGGCCCCATAAGTACCCAAACGAGATGTGATATATTCTTACCATATGTCTGAATTGTGTAAAAGGATGTGGAGGGAGTCATATCAAGTCAGGGGGGATCAGTGGATATCTAAGCTCTGGCAACACAGTTGTGCCACAATGAGAATATAAAGAAATAATTTATTTAAATTTTAATGTATATCATGAGTAGGAATAAAAAGCAATAAGTACGCCAGGGAACACTGAACCCAAATATCCCCCATGGAATACAGCACTTGGGAACAAAAGCTCTGGATCGTGCTACCATATGTGATATAAGGTCCCTAGCACAATCTTGCATCTCCAGCAGTCTGGGGATGAATTTGGAAAGATTTTATGTAGATGGGATGGTGAGAGGTACCAGCATATCAATAACGTATAGTACATTTCCAGGTAGTTCATACACCTGTTGATTTTGTGTAGAGAAGCGAAGGCCTTCTATCATTCTTTCTTTCCCAAGTCCTCCTCCCACCTCTGCATATAGAGAGGTTTCACTTCCTTGTTCTCATTATTAGTGAATGCAAATTACTGAAGGATACCAATCTAGTAACGTTTATGGAGAAGATATTAGGCTTACTTAGGAGTGGTGCGAAATCATGTGTTTTGATTAAACTTGGTCTAGAAACTGGTGATAAAAATTTAGCAAGAAAAATAAAGGTACTATGGGGAGGGCACATGTAGAGGCTAAAGTAGGGAATGGGATTGGCAAATAATTCTCTAACAAATCTCCAGTGGTCTTCACACCTGCCTCGTACAATCTCTGTAAGTTCATCTTAGGGGTAAGAAGGGTAAAGGAGGAAGAAATGTGCTGGAAAGGGAACTCCACCACATTTTAACATACATTGGTTCCACACAGTAATTGCACATTTTAGTGGTTGCATAAGACAGATATTGTGTGGTCTTAAACTCTAACGAGTGGACATAAAACAAGGCAAATCAGCCTTGGTTAGGTATTTCTGTTCCATTTGTAACATTGAATGTCACTTCCTATTACTTGTAGTCATATTGCCTGGGACAGTAGGGTGGCTCTGTGGTATTTGTGTACATATAAAACTCCCAATCCTTCCTTGTGTGCAGAAACAGAGTTCTAGAGTTGTATTAGTTACTCTAGAACATTTATGCCCCCAGATAATCCTAGTGAAAAGGTGCTTTTTGTTCTAAATGTAGTTTGCTGGGACAACTACTGGCAATAAGCGAAATACATAAAGAATTTTAGGTTTTAAGATCATCATTTTTAACATGCTAATTCTGCCTGGCAAAAACAAAGTGATACGGGAGTGTAGATCAGATTTGACCATATTGATGAGCAAGACTTAATTGAATTTAACAAGAAACCTTGGAATGTATACCCCTAAGTATTTTATAAAGCCTCTCCAGTCATATGTGTATGTAGCTTTCAAAGGAGAGAGAGAGTTAAGGCGGTTAATCTGATGGGCAATACCTGGATTTTTGCAATGTTCAATTTATAGTAGGAAAGCTTGCTGAACATTTTGAGCAAGAAATTAATTTCTGAGAGATAGGCAGATGGTTATATTATGTGCAGTAGGATATCATCTTCAAAGAGATTAAAAAAAAAAAAAGTTTGATGCCTAACAGAGATCTTTGAAATCTCTGAATGCTATTGAAGTGCTAATGCCAGTATAAACAGTATGGAGGAGAGAGAGGCCATCCCTGCCTGGTTCTGTTAAGAATTAAGAAGGGAGAGGACATGAAATCAGAATAGTAAACCTGGGCAGAGGGTTGGCAGTAGAGGGTCATTATAGCACAGATTATATCAGGTGTAATGCCAGAAAATACAGATTAAGGAGCAGAGCACACATATAAATAAAGTTTTCACTTTTATAATGCTACTTTAAATCACCTATTTAAGCAAACAAATATGGGGATTCAGTTCCACCATATTGCCATATTGTATTAAGCCCACCACTACTTTACAGTACCCCTATATCAGTGGGTCCTACATTAATTCCAACGTGGGAGACAAATTAAATAGTGCTAGTGCTAAATGAGCTAAAGTGTGTTTAAATAACCTGTTGTAATAACATTGTGAATCTATATAATGCAAAATTAATGTGATAAAGAACACAATACAAAGCAGTGTCAGAACTAAATAATAAAATTGATAGTGCTCTGATGTATATACCCTCCAATGCCAATGTCATGTACTGCCAGTTTAGACTATCAAATGCATTTTCCCTCCCCACGTTAAACATTCTCACTAAGTAAGGGCCCATGGTGTTGGTGAATTATTTATAGTAGGCTCTGGAGGTTTGTGCTGCAGTTATAAAAGTAGTATATCTATGACCTCCTGCAATGGCATAGGCTCTTGTAGTCTGTGACGGACTGCCTGGAACCCCGACCAGGCACCTCCGTCAATCGCTGCTTCATAGTAATCCTTGAGAACCATAAGCACTGCACCGGACACCATAACCACTGTAAACCCCAAGAACTGCCACAGCTTAGTTGGGGTCTCTCCGTCCTCCACCCACCCTGTACCAAAGACTTCCAGTGGGTAGACCTCTCCTAGTTCAGAGAGCAAAGCAGGAACAGCTCTTGTGATTATAGCAATCCCCTGAGTGCAGGTAGTTCTCCAATCCCCCAAACATGAGCCAAGATTTCATGAAGGGGTGGCTGTTTAATGGAAGCCACAGCTGACCTTTTATTCATGGACCTTGTTTGGAACAGGGACACAAACTTAACAACCAATAACAACAAGGTTACAAAGTGTGACACTCCCAATACAAACATACAATCCCACCTCTCTGCTTGGGAGATAATTGAGGCAGATACTGCATTAACCCAATTATCTCCAGGCATAAAAACACATAATTTACAAAACCTCAAAAGTACCCCCAAAACACATAAAAGCCCCACAATTATTATATCCCCTGATAGCCCTGATCTGGGTGACCAACATATCCAAAAATCACCCAGATCAGTTCAGGAATTCTATGGAAGTCCCATTTTGACCGACCACACGCATGGTTTCATGCCCAAAATTGTTCCAGAGAATGAAGCTGCATGGCCGCTCTACTTTGAGGATTTGAAATAACGTTCAAATTACCAAACAAAGCAGTTCGTGGATATAGTCTGCGTATGTCTCTTGTCTCTGGGGTATCTTCTTACCGAACGTTGTTCGACTCCCGTTCGAATAGCCGAACATCTCTGGAAGGTAAAGTTTTAGCGGTGTTCGTGCCGACGAGTGTCCGATTTGAGTTCCATGCACTTGACGACCAAACACCTTTGGATGCGTTCGACTAAACAAGATAGCCACCGCCACGTGGTTGAATGGCACTTTGAAAGCTTAAATGAGTCCTGTTACCAGTCCCAACAGGCACACCTTTAAACAGGGTTTAACATAGGGGCTGTAGTCACGGGGTAGGAGGCTGGCAAACAGGTCCCTCCAAATCCAGTGGCGAAGTTCAGTTCACCACATAGTCATTGGGCTGATAGTTTAGAGATGTATAGTGAATTAAGGAACCTTGCCATTTCTGATGGAGTTGGGTAATACGTGCGCCCCATCTCCCACAGGTTATATAATTTTGAATAGAATGTTGCACCCGTCTACTCATGTCAATAGATGCCAAAAAGGCGTTTGACAGGGTAGAAGTGACTCTGATGAAGGCCACGCTACAACTCATGGGGTTCGACCCTAATTGGTTACATAGGTTGGGGGTGCTATACTCCTCGCCTACAGTGAGAATCTGCTTTAATGGCCAGCTGTCAGAACCTGTGACTATCTCCAATGGCGCTAGACAGGGGTGTCCACTCATCCCCCTGCTTTTTGTACTAGTATTAGAGCCCTTTCTACAAGGCGTTAGAGATAATCCTCATGTAGCGAAAGTAACCTCACCACTGGTTTTTGGAGGGGTCTGTTTGCCAGCCTCCTACCCTGTGATTATGGTCCCAGTGTTAAATCCTGGTTAAAACCACTGTGTGTGCCTTTTTGTACTTGTATGGCCACAATTTGAACTTTTGAAGTGGCACTTCGAACTCCCAAACTCCTGAAGCCATTTAAAGTGCCATTCAACCACGAGGTGGTGGCCATCTTGTTTGCATGGACCAAAACCACGAATAGACTTCAGGGGGACTTAGCCGCGAATGCCCTGGAACTATTTTCAGCATGAAAACTTCGCGACTCCCGGCCGGTCCGCCAACTGCACTTAGCTGCGGTTCTATGGAACTTTTTTTGGCATGAAAACTTTGCGGTTCCCGGTCGGTCCTCCAGCAGCACTTAGCCACGATTCTATGGAACTACTTTCGGCTATGGGACCATGCCTGCGGTCGGTCAAATATATGACTTACATAGAATTTCTGAAACCCTGAACTGATCTGGGTGATCTTTGGATATGTTGGTTACCCAGATCAGGGCTATCAGGGGATGTTTCTGTCGGGATATTTTGTGTTTTGGGGTCCTTTGGGGACTTTTTAGAAATGTGTGTTTTTTTGTGTCTGGAGATAATTGAGTTTAGTATAGTGTTGATTCAATTATCTCATATGTAAAAGGGAAGGCTTATTGTATTGAATGTGGGAGTGTCATGCAGTGTGCTATTATTGGTTTGTAAGTTTGTGTCCCTGTCCCCAACAAGGTCCATGTGGGCTTACCCCTTGCATGGGGACTGTCATAAAAGGACAGTGAGTCACCATTAAAATTGAGTTCCTGCTTACCCTCAACACAGAGTCTTATCTCATGTGTGGGGGAAACGGCTGTATCTACCTTGGGGATTGCTACATCTCTATACTCTCCTGGGATTATAATCACTAGCTCTTTTAAGAGCTGTTCCTGCTACGCTCTCTGGAGTAGGAGAGGTTCACCCACTGAAAGCTGGATCCTGGTCTTGGGTCCAGGGTGGGTGGAGGAGGGCGAATTCCCAGCCAAGCTGTAATGCTGTACGTGGGGACTACAGTGCTGATGGTGT